AGCGCGATCCTGTTGGTTTCGGGTCAGGTAGGGTATCACGAAACCCGACCCGATCCGACCCGACTCATTAACACCCCTAAGCACAAGTATAAAGAAATTTGTGAAAGCATAGTTCAAGTCTTGGTCAAAGGTCTCCCTTTAGCTAGAAGCATATCACTTTGATCTAATAAGCTCCGGTAGATTACCACATACTATGGGACCTTCTATTTTTCTGAAGTGGTTGAACTATTTCCGCGGACTTTTCTCTAGTAATGAAATTCAGTGTTTCTAAATAAAATAGCGAATGTCACATTCCACAACCATAAAACTTGTTTTTTTATCAAATTGAAAGCAAATTATTAACTTAATTACCTCATATATCCTATTTAAAGCATTATTATTATAAGAAAAATACTTTCCTAATCATTGAAATTTCAAGAAATTTGAGAAATTTGGGAGGGGGACAAAATTAAGGATGTTGTAGGAATTTATTAAGATAAAACAGTATATCTATCTATACTGCTATAAAATGAGATATTATACAAAATTGACCATTCTGACTTCCCGAAGTTCTACTTCCGTCTTATCTTCCACATTTTGTTTTGTGCACTTATTCATTTACACTCTTTGTTTTTTCCTCTTATCTTCCACATATTGTAATATCCATCATGGTTACTACAACCAAATATTGTTGTCCCTTCTTCTTTGAGTACATAACATCTGTTAGATATATAAATCTAACTCATTCTCCAAACATGATGTACTTCCAGTATGGTAATCGCCGCTATCACGTCCTTGGAATTTTCAGGTGAATCGAATTTAAGGACAGTTTTCGTAAAAAGCGAGCTCCATTCTTCGGCATCCTATTCACTTGGTGTCATCATGGGGGTGGGGAACATGGCAGAGTCAAAGGATGAACAGGCTCAAGTCTTACGCCACCGCTGGCCGCCCGTCTTATAGCAATGGAATGTTGTCATTGGCATTGCCGACTTCTGTTTGATAGAGAAATACCCGAAACCGAGGCGTGTAGGCGAAGTAGTCCTTGTAGCTGTAAAATGCCATGGAGGCGTTTCTGTGGAACACAGATCGGGTACGTACAGCCAAAGACCTTTAATGATGAGACTACTGCGCCAAGGACTGCGGAGATGACATGATCTTCGTCGGACAGGCACAAAAGAGGATACGTTCCTCTACGAGCGCTTGTGCGCATACATGGGAGGAGAGAAGAGCGAGACGATGAACGGCGAACGGTATGAAGGGGCGACGCTAGAGCCTAGAGGAGTACGCGGAGTCTCGGGGTGAAGGACGGACAAGGAGAGAAACCTTGAAGGTTCGTCCAGGTGGAGCAATGGGAAGATAATGGAAGATGGTAACGCAGACACCCGCGTAACAAAAGACATGGAGGGAATGGACGCAAGTGAGAAGTTTACAGTTTATGTGTTAGTGTTAGCATGAATCATCTCCCTTTAGCCCATTTTTATGGCCTAATATTCTAAGAAAATCTCAATTTAGGTCGAGTCCTAATTCTACCCTAAATTTTTTTCCGTCCGATAAAAAAATCCCAACTTTAAATACGGTTCCTATTTTAATCTAAACTTTTTTTTGTCCCGTGAAAAACCCCAAACTTTAGGTAATGTCTCAATTCTACTGTCCAGTTTCAATTTTACCTAAAATTTGTTTAGTCTCGTAAAAAACTACTAATTTTTACTTGAGTTACAAATCTGCACCTGTTAACCCTCCATCCAAAATTTCTCGTTGACAATCGAGAGATGGAAAACTCCCAAACACGAACTGTTCGACCGTCTCAAGCCGAGTGTCCTGAGCGCAAGTTCTCCCACTTGGAAATGTTGTGGTAGCTATATGACCTTAACAGGTTGTAGTAGCAAAGTAACCTAAGATGGCCTCTTATTCTTGGATCTTGTTCGTGAGTTGAGAGAATCAATGTATTAATTCTATTGTATTAAACTACTCTACTATTCTATATTTTATATTTTATTACTTCATGCTTTTTATTCTTTCGCAAGAAGAAAGGATTGACCTATTTCATCCCGACTTGATCTGATTGAGATTTTTATAAGATTATCATTTTTCCTACCTATATCGATAGAACATGCTCGAAAGGCTCAATAAAGAAGCATACCTTTTTGGTAAATGAGCAGCTTGGGCATATTGGTCATGAAATCAATGTGTTGTGTTATTATCAGCTCTCAGAGATCTTTTTTTCCTTTTGGAAGATAGAGGCGCGCGACTCTTTCTAAAAGATATAAACAAGTGTCTTAAGACGCCTAACCTTTAAGTGTTTTTGTAGGTCTCACCCCAATCCAAATAATCTATGTAGGTTTAACATCTCTAGGTCAACGGATTGAGATGTATTGATCCATGGATCTATGTGTCTATACAATCCTCTACTCATGGATTAACGAGAATGTGCCATGGACACTAGGATTAGAAGCAAGGGTTACTGGTTACTTGACTGAACCACCTTGAATCCTCCTTCTCTACCATATGCTTTGACCCACATTTGGGCTATTTGGTAGGAGATGGAACACTCCCGAGCATGAGATATCGAAAACCGAGCGCAAAATCCAAGATCCCTGAGTGAGATGGATGGAAAACTTCTTAAGATTAAGAGCAATTGAAGAAAGCCAATCCTAATTGCTCTAGTTTTTACCAAATTTCAAATATAAGAAGACATTGTTTGGGCTAATATGGAAATTTATCTCCAAAAGGGAAAAATTATCCAAAAAGTCTTAAACCTATTGAACAGCGGCCAATTTAGTCATAAACTTTTCAATTTTGCCAATTCGGTTCTAAACCTTTTAATTGTACCAATTTAATCCTAAAATTTTTTATAATTTGCCAATTTAGTCATAAACCTTTTAACGAATTGTCAATTTAGTCCTTTCGGCTAATTTTGGCCAAAAATCGTTGACGAGCAGTCTAATCAGCGCCTGCCATCCTACGTGGCACTAATGTATATAATTTTTTTATTTTTTAAAAAAAATTCTGAATTTTTTATTGATTTTTCTTATTTTTTTATTCTTTTCTTTTCTTTCTCTCCTATCTTCTTCATTGAGCCAGCGGCCATTAGGCAAAGCCCGGCAACCCTCGCCTGCCCTCACTGTGGTCGGTGACGGCCTAGCAAGGGCTGCGGAGGTCGACAGCTCAATGAAGAAGAAAGGAAAAAAGAAAAGAACAGAAAAGAAAAAATCAATAAAAAATTCGGAGTTCCTTTTATAAAATAAAAATTTATCTACTTCATCGCCACGTAAGACAACCGGTGTCGACTGGACCATCACGTTAACGATTTCTGACCAAAATTAGTTGGAAGGACTAAATTGGCAATTCATTAAAAGGTTTATGACTAAATTGACAAATCACAAAAATGTTTAGAACTAAATTAGCACAATTGAAATGTTTATGATTGAATTGATAACTTTTCAAGAGGTTTAGGACTGAATAGACAAAATTGAAAGATTTAGGATTGGATTGATCGCCGTACAATAGGTACAGGACTTTTTGAACAATTTTCCCTCTCCAAAAGATGTTTTCTTAGATCTGAAATTTGGGGAAAAACTAAAGTAACAACGTGAAAATGCCACGTAAGATCATTAAGATCGATTTTGAATGGTAGGTTAATGGAAATAGAGACTCAAGTAAAAGTTGGTAATTTTTTATGAGAAACAAAAAATTTAGGATAAAATTGGATCTAGAACTAAAGGTGGGGTTTTTTATTAGACCAAAAAAGTTTAGGAAAGAATTGGAAATTGACCTATAATTGGGGTTTTTTATGAGACAAAAAAAGTTTATGGTAGAATTGTGATTGGAACTAAAGTTTGGGGTTTTTTAATGAGACAAAAAAAAGTTTATGATAGAGTTGGGACTGAAGCAAAACTCGAAAGTTTTTTTTAGGATATTAAGCCCTATTTTATTTAATACATCTAAATGTTCTATTTAATATATTAAAAGGATCTTTAATTCTATATTTTTATTTATTTATTATTCCATCATGATTGATACTCTTTTTTTTCTCATGAGATTCTTTCTCTTTCAAATAATTACGACGAGAGCTGAGTCATGAATGGATAATGTCAATTCTTTTTATATCTTAGCCGAAAGTTACTAATTTTATTTCCAATTATTTGTTAATCTATTAATCCTAGTTGTTTTAATGAAACCATTAATATGAGGTATATTTAGATTATTAAAAAACTAATCTAATCAAACCACGAGGGAACAATTTCTAATCATATCCCAGAAGATAAACATTTCATCAATTTCTAATCATTTTGTTCAATGAGCTTCACTAAATTTGAGATGAGAACTTTATGATGTATTTAGATCATATTTTAATTGACAAGTGAAATAAGTAGTCTTATAATTTTGTAATTTTTTAACACGACTTTCACGATAAAAGAATTGTACAGTGGCAAAGGTCATATAAGTACTAGTTTTATAAGATAATAGGGGTTTAACTTTCCGAAAGAATAATAAAGATTCAAATTTAAAATTCAAAAATTTTTAGGAATTTAAGTATTAGAAATTTAATTTATAGGTAAATTAAAATTTTACATCTCATCCAATATTATACATTATTAACTCAATTACTATTGTACCATGATTAGTCACTCAATATAGTATAGAGGCACACCTACTAGTATGTAAATACACGAATAATTTCTTAATCATACTAACCAAGGTAATATAATTTCGAGACAAACATAATAAACATAAAAAGCACGCTATCATGGTATGTTTGTTTGAACTAAAGTGAAAATAAGAAATAACCTTTTTGCTTTGTCGTTGAAATTTAGAATATCATTAAATTTTTTCAAGTTTTTGAACAAAATCATATGTGAATCTTTTGCATTTCGTGAAATTTCAGATATTTCGGATTTTAAAAAAAAATAAATTATTGCGGTGTGAAATTGTAATTAGGTGGAAATCAAAAGTAAAAAGACTGGTTTGATTTCGATTTCGATTTCGGGGTAAAAATCAATAGACATACACGACATGCATGTATAAAAACTCCAGAGCAAACGGCAACAGCTGTTTCATCTCCACCTTCGCCTTTCATCTTTTACCGGCATCACTCGACGGCGAATTCACTCGCCGGAAGACAAACGCAGTCAGGGTCAGCTCCGGCGGCGCACCGCCGGTACCTCTTGCCGTCGCCCCCGGAGAGCTAGGGTTTTTCCCTGTCGTTCGAAGGCCAGGTGCAATGGAGGGAGCCCTAGCGAGCGCTTCTTCAATCATGGACCAGAGGCAGAGGATCGAACAGTACAAGCACATCTTGGCCCCCGTCCTCGCCTCCAACGACATCGCCCAGGCCAAGAAGTTCATCGATCACAGTTGAGTGCTCTCTTCCGGACCCCCGACAAATTCCCCCTGGCATCTCTTGCTAGTGTCGAAAGCTAATTCGCGAATGCTGTTCTTGTTTTTGTTCTTGTTGTGGGGGGCATTCTGCAGTGCTCTCCGATGATGTGCCGCTCGTGGTGTCGCGGCAGCTGCTGCAGAACTTCGCCCAGGAATTGGGGGTTCTGGCCCCGGAGACGCAGAAGGAGATTGCGCATTACACGCTCGCCCAAATACAGCCTAGAGTCGTTTCGTTTGAAGAGCAGGTTGAGTTTTTATCATTCGCTCTCTTGTTAAGCCCCCTGGAAAGCGCAGATGTTGACCGAATTTGATTCTAGAATCTTTTGTTCTCATTGATGACACCTTAATAGATACTGCACCGAGATGAATTGTTTTAAGATAGATCAATCAATTTCGCTCGACCCCTTCGAGCATTTATATTGGAGTAGAGGGTGGGGAACTCCTTCCTTATCCTTTTTGTGATGGTGGTACTTTGATTAATGTCTGCTGGGGGGGTTTAAAGTTCTTAAGCTTATATTGTAATGTATTGAAACTGTTGATGGTTGATAGTTACTCCTATCTGAGTGGCAGCCACTAATAATTAGAGAGAAGCTTGCAGAATTATATGAATCAGAGCAACAATGGTCAAAAGCAGCTCAAATGCTTAGTGGCATTGACCTAGACTCAGCAATGAGGTATGGGTGCGAGTTTAACGTTCACCTTCATGCATTTAGCTCATGACGTATTTGTATCATCATCTCCATGCAATATTTACTGGCTTTTGCTATTTTATATCTAAATGGTTTAATATCTTGAGTCAGCATTGAATCTTGTCTTATGTCATCAGGATGATAGATGATAATTTCAGATTGTCAAAATGTGTCCAAATTGCTCGCCTATACCTTGAGGTGAGGACCTTTATACAATAACTTTTTTCTGAAGTGACGGTGGTCAACTTGTGATGCCTATGAACCAACAAATTTGAAATACTAGGGCTGGTACTGGAAAATGTTTCCAGTGAAAATGGAAATGAGAACACCTTTAGTTTTCATCTTCAATTTCTTTGGAAACATGTTTGGTATGTGATATGTGAAAAAGAGAATTCTCTATCGCAATGAAAATTATGCAAACATGTTTGGTTTTTTTAGTTCACAATTGAAATGAATTTGAGAATTACAATGTCCACATCTATCCCATCATACGGTAAATTTTATCAAAAAACTGCTCAACAACAGATAGTATGATCTGAGGTATTAAAGAAGTCGAGGTCATGATGTTTATACATATATGACGTGGAGGAAAATCCCATTATATACACCTCAGTTCAACAAGAAATATTAAGAACTCCAATCCTGAATCATTACCAAAGTCCTCCAGTATACAAACGAAACCTTCTATTAATCCATCTTGTGAAGACCATTGGAAGAACGGCAAATGAATTTTAGATTGTGATGCCGTGCTTCATGTTCTGTTGTTGATTACTTGCCAAGTTATCAGGCAAGCTGGTGATGGCTTTGATCTCGAGCACCAAATTCCAGTACATACGCCCATATCAAATCCCAGACAATGCTGCAAAGCATCACGGCTAGCACCTCCACAACCCAATTCGTTTAGCACCACTCCATACAGTGGCAGACTGGAGCGATTGTATGTATACTGATTGTTGGTAGATACACCTTAATCCAGTTCTGTCATGCACAAAACTTAAGGGAGTCTCGGCCACCCTCAATTGACTACTCCTTTGCTCGATTGAAGCTGGATTGTTTTCTTGGCGTAACCTCCAATGAAGATGAAGAAGGAATAATGCACTTCGGTGTTTTCTGCCTGCAAAAGTGAAAACACGGGAAAAAGAGAGTGACATCATTTTGTTGTTTTCAGTCTTGTAGCAAAAGAATGGAAATCACTTCCCTGTCCTTTCATTGAAAATCAGTTTTCGAAATCTTGCCAAGCCTATTTTCAGATCATTTTTCATCATGAAAATGGTAATGAAATTTTGGGAATTCTCCATGAACCAAACTGCCCCATTACTTTTTGTAGTTAGTTTATTCATTATGTCATAGCCTTCAGACACATTGCTTGTAGCTGTTATCATGTCGGTTGGGATTGAGCACATCACTTGAAATGTGCACGCTTTCCGTCTCTGGACTATCTTTGCAATCTCTAAATCACTAATCTTGAAGTCTTGGTACGTATAGCAATTGCTGTGTTCTATTTCTTGTTTGTTTCAGGATGACGATGCTGTAAATGCGGAAGCTTTCATCAACAAAGCTTCGTTCCTAGTTAGCAATAGTCAGCATGAAGTTTTGAATTTACAATACAAGGTTTGCCCTTGTTTGATGTGTAACAGCAAGGATAACTATTTTAAGCTAGCTTTTGTCAAATTGATTGTTAACTTGTTATGATTTTCTCTTCTTATCAGGTTTGTTATGCAAGGATTTTAGATTTGAAGAGAAAGTTCTTAGAAGCCGCATTGCGGTATTATGATATATCTCAGATTGAGAAGCGACAAATAGGAGATGAGTATGTACAGTGAACAGTCTACTGTCTTTTTGTGATATTTGATGTCTATTGAGACTTGATGATCAGATTGAATTCCTTCATTCTCTTTTATGGGTGGAAACTATCTGGTTTCAGTCATTTTTTTCCCATAGATAACGCATATATTATATATATGCCGTTGTCTAACAAGCATTGCAAACCTGTATGTTTTTGGATGTCATTTATTAAAAACCTGTACGTGACAGAATCTTTAACACTTCTTTATAAGTTTGCTATTATTTGAAGGGCCAAGCATGGAAAACCTAAAGCATTTCTCCTCAATTTTCTAGTTTCCCCATTTCGATCTAAAGCACATAAAAGAAATTGATTATTATTCACCATGAATTACCGATTAATTTTAATGCCTCCATTTCAATTATATGTCATTTTAAGGTAAAATGGAGGTAAAGTATATTTGCATACTTAAAAAGTAATGCAAATGTCACTTTAAATCCGTTTAGGCCTTAAAAGAGCATATAATTGAAATCAGGGATGAATTCAATGTTTGGTGTAGATGCCCATTTCGTCATATTCCATTTAGACCATAAAGTTCTAAACTATGGTTTACAATTTCGAATATATCGAAATAAATGGATAAACAATTGAATGTCGCGGACCTATACATTTTATCTAAAAATGAAAGAATGGTCATAATGGAATACGACGCCTTAATCATTCATTCTAATATGAAAATGGCATTTAAACCAATCATTTATCATTATTTAGGCATTTTTTTTTTGAAAAAAATGTGCCAACTAGTTTGCAAAATTATAAAAGAAGGAAGTGGAACGATAGTTTCTTACCAAAATGTTTCGGTTTGATTTTAGGTATACCAACCACAAAGAGAAGCGAATGCAACCAGTGAGGTTCTGACTCCTAAAAAGGGTAAGGTATTCTAAAGGCTTGAGGTCACCACCTTAATGGATAAGGGATTTTATCCCAATGGGCAATCAGCCTAAAGTGAAGGAATATTATTCATCTCGGTGATCGGTATTATATTTAAACGATCCCATGAGCAATCGGCTCACAGTTTCGGCTAAACATATACCTCCTAAAGGTAGACCTAATTGTAGCCGGGGTTGGGCTACAGGTTGTGTGTGCTAATGGTGTAGTGCTTAAGCTATTCAAATGCATGCATAGCAATTAATAATCAAACAGCACTTCTAAAATAATCATTTCACATTCATTCCCGACACCATCCTGCAAAACAAAGGTTAAACACAAACCGCACCCCTTATACCTCCCATCTGCAAAAACATTTAACACAATTGTCAGGGGACATACCTGGGATCCTTGCGAGCATAAATCACAAGTGTATCGTTCTATCTAGGCCTACGTCTACTTAGAAAAGGTAAATCCCCAGCGGAGTCGCCAAGCCTGTCGCGCCGTGCTGATTTTTTGGGTTTTCGAGGTTTGCGCGCTAAGGAGGTATTTCCGTGCAAGGGTCTCTCCTAGACCATACCTCACGTGACAGCAGATGATAATTTCCTATTTAGTCTAAGTTCTCGATTTTGGAGTCGCTACTGGTCATTGTTGGTAGGTTGACTAGAAACCTAATCGGGGTATGAGGGAAATACCACGATTCTATGAACCAGAGATTCTGAATACGGCGACTTGGTTACGTTAATGATCCTAAATTGAGATCTCTAACGCCCTTTCGGTACCTAACGATACGATGTCTAATGTGTCATGCAAGTTTCCGAGGCTTACCCACTAATCCTATACATTCTAATTGCGGGGAAAATCAATCAAGAATTAAATGCTCAATTAAGGTCAATCAAACCAAACAATCCTAAATTGTCTCTAAAAATGAAATCCAACCAAAACATCCAAACTCTAATGAAACCCTAAAGGCTTGTTCATTTCATGATTTGTGTCTTTTTAGGGTTTTAGGGTTTTTTAGGGGTTATGACCCTTGAATTTGAGATTTTCTAAAAATGTCACTTGGGCACTTCAAAGAATTCAAATTTCACTTTTTAAGGTTGGCCACAGTGTTTTTAAACCATTCTGTGAATTTTGAAATTTTTTATTTATATTTTTTTTTGAAAATTGAATTTCTGAGAATTTCATTAACCGAGAATTGATTTTTATGATTTTCTGAAAAAAAAAATTTATGGATTTTCGAATTTTCGAATTTTTTATAGATTTTCTAAATTTTTCACATTTTTTATTTATGTTTTCTGAATTTTTTGGATTTTTATAAATTTTCCAAAAAATTTTTAACTTTTATGAAATTTTTAATTTTTTGAAATTTTTATGAATTTTCTGAAAATTTCTAATTTTTTTATTTATTATTTATTATTTATTATTAATTTTCCCGAAGGAAAAATGAACCGGATCGGCCCGGTTCAACTTGGTTCGGCTTGGACGAACTGGGCCTTGCCGACGCCGGAGCCAATCATTTCCTCCGGCGAGCACAGCGCCAAAACGGCGTCATTTCTAGTGATTTTCTCTTCGGCATTTCGCCGAGCACCTAGTGTGCATATTTTCTTATTTTGAGTTCTCGAGGCCATGGTTTTGAGCCTTCCTCCGACGATCTTCTGGCGACTATTTCGCCATTTCTTTTGATCCACCATCAAGTTCATATGACCGGCTATTGTCCTTATCCCATAGATTCGCCGCCGAACCATCGCCGGCCGGCAAAAAGCCGGTAGGTAAAACCTAACTTGCAACTATTCTATATTAACTGACCAAATCTTCAAATCACAATATAGAACGCCCTAGCCATCTAACTCGATTCTAATCACTAACAAAACATCAAGCAAATATCAAGGAAGACTAACTTGAGTGGCCTAAAGCCACGGCGACACTCCGGCGAGGACTCCCGAACTCCGGCGAGGTGATTTAATGGGCAACCGAGACATTTTACGCATGTTTTCCGGTCAAAAATGCAATCAAGCAAAGTAAAACACGATTAGAACACGTTTTAAGCACCTAATATAGTAAAATCATAGAGAAACATGCACGAACAAACCAAAACACTATTCTGGAATTCTGGAAAAACGTGATCATGAGCGATGTTTACCTTCTTCGTTCGATGATCAGGAGGAATCGCCGAATTGATCCGTGCCTATGGAATCGTTCCTTGATACTTGAGCTTCAACCTGGTGGTCTTGAATTCGCAGAATGAGCTCTGGATGCTCCAAACAGTCGTGGTTTTCAGAGCTTCGCGATCAGACTTTTGTTGGTCACCCGAGGAGGAGATCTCCTTGAATGATCGATTTGCCGGCACCGTTCAATCGCCCGGCGCAGATCACTCGATCTAGGGATCTCTATTCCTCTCTCTCTTTCTAAACTTTACACTGTTTCTCACTCTTTCTAAACTTTACACTGTTTCTCACTCTCTCTCTCTTCTCTCTCTCTGGCATTTCGTCGAACACGCTCTCTCATCACGTTCAGTTTTTTCTCCCTTTTGTTGATCAATTTTTCCCGCCCAAAATCCGTTTCCACTGCCTTCCGATCGGTTGGAATGACTTTCTGGCGCCAGCCGGAGATTTTCCAGCTGGCCAACTCAATTAAAACGTGTTAATTTGATCGGAGAAGGTCAGCAAAATCGCGGATCTGAGAAGATATTTTCTGGGTTCATCACGTTTTGGGGCGAACCGAGTGAAGAAGAAGGCTGACCCGGGTCGGGTCGGGTTGACCCGGCCGACTCGGCAGTCCCGGTTTTGATTAAAAATTCAAATTGAGCCTAATTTCAACCGAATTTTCAAAATTAAATCCCAAAATTGAATTCCCCATAACATTCTAAACCCAAATATGTGATTTTCCCCAATTTTTGACAAAATCATGTCCAAGATTTTTGAACTTTTGTATTCGGATTATTGGGATTTTGTTCAATTCAATGCCTCAATGACCTGATTAGGCAAAATTGGTACCAAAATTGAATTACCCACATCTTATTATCCGTAGAAATGATGGTCTCATGGTTCGACAATTTCGAATTGGACACGATTCCCAATTTGGATTCAAAAATTCCTAATTTTCAATTGAATTTTGGGGTTTTCTGATTTCTTTAACAAATTGTGCAATTGGACCGACTATTATGTAATTCAAGGTCCCAGAATAATTTGTTATGAAGACACTATGACTTAAAAATGACTATAAAAGATCTAATTGCATTTTTGGTCTAATTCGGGTTTGATTTGGCCCAATTTTGGGAAAAGCACATTCCCGATTGATATTTTTCAAAATTGATGATGTACTAATGAAATTGGATTTTAAAGAAGACTACTGACTATTTTTATGGAATTTTCTGATTTCATTTGCTATTTTTCTTGATTTTCTCACTCATTTGACTAAAAGAAATTAAAGAAAAAATTCAGGAAAATGCTAAGAAAAATAATTTTTGGTTTAGAAATAGGTTTCTAGGCTTGGCCAAAATTCCTAATCCTAATTTTGAGATTTTTGAAAATATGAAAAAAAAAATAAGCTAAAAATCATGTGTCAATAGTCGCGAATGGTGCTCGCGCCTTGCACGAATAGGTCACGTCTCATGTACGAATGGGCCATATCCCATGCACGTAAGGGGCCATGTCTCGTTCACGGATGGGCTCGGAGCCCTTCGCTCCCTTGGGCCGTGTCACAAGCATCTGAAATTCATTCGGTAAGAAGACAATTCAATATAGGGGAATGAGCAAGTAAGGAAATATGGTAACTATATAACATGAAGAAATTGAAGTGCCTGAGTCGTCTGTAACAGCATGAAGGCTGCAATAATATTGATGCTCCCGTGATAGAGAACCTTGGAAATTGTGAAAATTTGCAATGCATAAGCTCCGCACGACCCAAGGTTGGCAAAGATGGTGATCGGGACATGTTCTTTCAAATTGAAAGGTCCTGGATTTAGTGAGAATGCCCATCTCGTGAACGGGACTTGGATCAGCCTCGAAGGGAGCGTCAAGGCCATCAATCGTCCCAGGGGAAGTGTAACAATTTGTGCTAAAATTGCCGAAATGCGGTATTGGTTAGTCCTATAGCTGAAGAATTGGTTGGTGAAGGACAAGATCACGCACGAGACCACGCCGAGAACCCATGTCCTGAATGTCAGGACCGGCAGCGATGGATCGTCCGTCGGTGGAACCGTGAGGCGCACCTCTTCGATGGGGCAATCACCTGATATTCCGTCTCTTCCTTCGTGGTAAGTTAGTAGCATTCGATCACAAAACCATAACAGCAAATGTAAATGCTTTCGGTGGTGATGGGCGAGGAGTTACTGGACAATTTTTCGGCAGACTCTGCACCTTCAACCACGATTCCCGCCATCCTCCCTAAGGTCAGTTTGAAGCCCCTCCAGCCGAATAATCACTGTATACTTGCTCTTCT